TCCTCCATGCTTCCTATACCTCCTGCAGAACCAGGAGCTCTTCTTTATAAATTACCCAGTCTCAGGTATTTCTTTATAGCAAAGCGAGAATGGCCTAACACAGGGCACAGTTACAGAAAAGCCCAGGTGTGGGGCTGTGATAGGGTGGAGAGCCGCAGGAAGAGTGAGCACGAATGAGATGTTCATGTTGACAGAAAGCCAGGGGAGAGGGATAGGGGGAGCTTGGACCACAGTCTATAAAGAGCAGCAGATGTCAGTCTAAACATCTGGGGGTGGTGGAAGTTAAGCAGAGACCTGGCCAGAGATTTCCTTTAGTAAGCTTAGCCTGGAAGTGGCACGGAAGGCGCTCAGAACAGGGGAGACTGGAATTGGGATGCCAATTTAGGGAACCTGGCAACAGGGTAGGGTGGTGAGTTTTATGTGTCAACCTGGTTAGGCTGTGGTACCCACTTATGGAATCAAACACTAATCTAGGTGTTTCTGTGAAGGTGTCTTGTGGATGTGATTAACAGCTCCAATCCGTTGACTACTTCTTATTTTTGAGACGGAGTCTTGCTCTGTCGCCCAGGCTGGAGTGCAGTGGCATGATCTCAGCTCACTGCAACCTCCGCCTCCCAGGTTCAGCGATTCTCCTGCCCCAGGTGATCCGCCCGCCTCGGTCTCCCAAAGTGCTGGGATTACAGGTGTGAGCCACCACACCGGAACAATCCATAGACTTTAAAGTAGCTTTAAGTGAAGGGGGCTTAAGTAAAGTCTGTGAAATGGGTGGATTCCTCTTCCCACCCACGGATTCTTCTTTCAGTTGAAGCCCTGAAGAGTAAAACTGAGGGCCGGCGCAGTAGCTCACACCTATAATCCCAGCACTTTGGGAGGCCAAAGCAGGCAGATCACCAGAGGTCAGGAGTTCAAGACCAGCCTGGCCAACATGGCGAAACACCATCTCTACTAAAAATACAAAAATTAGCTGGGCGTGGTGGCGGGCACCTGTAATCCCAGCTACTCAGGAGGCTGAGACAAAAGAATCACTTGAACCAGGGAGGCGGAGGTTGCAGTAAGCTGAGATCGTGTCATTGTACTCCAGCCTGGGCAACAAGAGTGAAACTCCATCTCTGAGGTTTTCTGGAGAAGAACAAACTCTACCTCAAGACTGTGACAGACTAATTCTGCCCCAGTTTCCAGCCTGCCCTTATACATTTTGGACTTACCAGTCCCTACAATCATATAAGCCAATTTCTTCAACTCTCTTTCTCTCTCTCTCATAACACTCATCCCTAGGGTAGAGAGAAAAGATAAATAAATCCTATCAGTTCTCTTTCTCTGGAGAACTGATTGACACAGGAGGTAGGTTATTGGCCTTTGAAGCTTTCTGTTGTTGCACGCCATCAACTGAAAATTAAATTTTAAAAGACACACACAATTCAATATATGTATATTTTTATTGAGAAATTATTTACCTGTACCCAAGTACTAATATGTTGTATATATTACACAACAGGAAAATAGAAGAATTTTAAAGAATGAACTGCGGGTCGGGCATGGTGGCTCACGCCTGTAACCCCAACACTTTGGGAGGCTGAGGCGGGCTGGTCTCAAACTCCTGACCTCTTGATCTGCCTGCCTTGACCTCCCAAAGTGCTGGGATTACAGGCATGAACCACCATGCCCGGCCTCACCTGCATAGTTTTTGAGGGATGGGTTGGTGGTAGAATTGGCTAGTCTTCCTCCATGATCCCACAGTAACTATGCTTCTCCCCTCTCTCATTGCAAGCCTCTCATGGGATAGGATTGTAATTATTTGCTCATGTGTTCTTCCCTCCCACCAGAGAGAAGGGTAAGTTTTTTGAGGTCATGGAGTGGGCCTTATACTTAGAAATCTCTCAGTAGTATATTAGCTAGCAAAATTGTCAGGAGGGAAAACAAATGACAAACAATTTCAGTGATTCAGGCAAGAAATGAGGCTGACCTGAGGCAAGGTAACATTTGTGAAAAATGGAAGCCAGGCACAGTGGCTCACTCCTGTAATCCCAGCACTTGGGGAGACCATGGCGGGAGGATCACGAGGTCAGGAGATCGAGACCATCCTGGCCAATATGGTGAAACCCTGTCTCTACTAAAACTGGGCGTGGTGGCATGTGCCTGTAATCCCAGCTACTCGGGAGGCTGAGGCAGGAGAACTGCTTGAACCAGAGAGTCGAAGGTTGCAGTGAGCCGAGACTAAGCCACAGCACTCCACATGGTGACACAGCGAGACTCTGTCTCAAAAAAAAAAAAGGAATGGAACGTGGGGAACAGTTGTCTCAAAATATACGGGACTTTGACACAGACAGTGGGGTGATAAAGGAGAAGGAGGAGTCAGGGATTTGAATGACTTAGGTAGAGAATGATGGGTGGCTCTTTGGGACAGGGCACAGAGGAGGAGAAACACGTTTAGAGAAGCTGAGGCACGAGGATCACTTGAGTCCAGGAGATTGAGACTGCAGTGAGCTATAGGTGTGCCACTGCACTCCAGCCTGGGCAACAGAGCAAGACTCAGTCTCAAAAAAAAAAAAAAAAAAAAGAATTGTCAAGATACTCAATTGTGGATACCATCTCAGGCCAGTCAGGATGGAATTATTAAAAAGAAACAACAGATGCTGGTGAGGCTGTGGAGAAATAGCAATGCTTTTACACTATTGATGGGAATGTAAATTAGTTCAACCATTGTGGAAGATAGTGTGGCGATTCCTCAAAGACCTAGAACCAGAAATACCATTTGATCCAGCAATCCCATTACTGGGTATATTCCCAAAGAAACAGAAATCATTCTATTATAAAGATACATGCACACGTATGTTCATTGCAGCACTCTTCACAATAGCAAAGACATGGAATCAACCTAAATGCCCATCAATGATAGACTGGATAAAGAAAACGTGGTACATATGCACCACGGAATACTACACAGCCATAAAAAGGAATGAGATCATGTCCTTTGCAGAGATATGGATGGAGCTAAGCCATTATCCTCAGCAAGGAACAGAAAACCAAACACCGCATTTCTCACTTTTATGTAGGAGCTGAACAATGAGAACACACAGACACAGGGAGGGGAACACCACACACTGGGGCCTGTTGGAGGGGCAGGGGAGGGAGAGCACCAGATAGACAGCTAATGCATGCGGGGCTTAATCCCTATGGTTCCATAGGTGCAGCAAACCACCATGGCATATATTTAACCTGCATGTTCTGCACATGTATCCCAGAATGTAAAATAAAATTAAATAAAAAAAAAAAAAGAAAAAAAAAGATGCTCAGTTGTGGAATGACCTGGTTCTTAACAACATGCAATCCAGAGCAAAGCCTTGCTTCCTTGTGCTATTTTCCAAAGCATACAACACCAGCATGAATCCTAAATACATCCTTACTGAGGTGCCCTAGGGTTTTCCATGATCCGTGTGCTCTTCTTGCATCGCATCACTTTGTTCAGCTGTCAGTGTGATCCTGGTGGTCTTGGAGGGGCAGGGCCAGCTTCATGTGTGTGGACCTGTGCAATCCACAGAGTCCTGGGCTTAGAAGCATTAATCCCTTGACCAGATTAATGCTTGGCTGCTGCCATATTGAATTCTTTTAAATATTTTACAGACAGGGTCTCTTTCTCTGTTCCCCAGGCTAAACTGCAGTGACGTGATCACAGCTCACTGCAGACTCAAGCTCCTGAGCTCAAGCGATCCTCCTGCCTCAGCCTCCTGAGTAGTTGGGACTACAGGTGCGGCCACCATGCCCAGTTAATTAATTTTTTTTTAGAGGTGGGGGTCTTGCTATGTTGCCCAGGCTGGTCTTGAACTCCTGGGTTGAAGCCACCATGCCCGGCTTGAAATTCTTAATAATTTTTGTACAGGGGGCTCCCTGTGTTCATTTTTCACTGGGCCCCAGAAGTTCCACAGGGAGTTCTGCTGAAGGGCAGGGCCAGTGGGTAATGTCAGGGTCATCGTGGAAGAGGATGTGAGAAGTGGGTGAATTCCGGACTTTTTGGCTAGGATCCGTAAGACTGGCTGATATTTGGGATTTCGGTGGGAGAAAGCAGGGAAGAGAGAGGAATCACTCCTGCATGTGGGCTGGGACTTGCGCAATGAGCACCCTTTATCCAGATGGGAAATATCGGGTAAACAAGTCAAGCAGATTTTAGAGTGGGCAGGTGGGGTCAAGAATCTGTTTGGTGAAAATAAGCTTCCTACCAAATATTATAAAATAAGGATAGGATATTACATTTTAAAAAAATTGCAGACCAGCCAGGAGTGGTGGCTCATGCCTGTAATCCCAATACTTTGGGAAACCAAGGTGGGAGGATCCTTTGAGGCTAGGAGTTTGAGACCAGCCTGGGCAACATAGCAAGACCCCATCTCTACAAAAAATTTTTAAACAGTAGCCGAACATAGTGGTGCGCACCTGTAGTCCCAGCTACCTGGAAGGCTGAAGCTGGGGAAGACTGCTTGAGCCCAGGAGGTAGAGGTTGCAGTGAGCTATGATTGTGCCACTACACTCCAGCCTGGGTGACAGAGTAAGGCCCTCTACCAAAAAAAAAAAAAAAAAATTGGGCCAGGCACAGTGATTCACGCCTGTAATCCTAACACTTTGGGAGGCCAAAGCGGGCAGATCACCTGAGGTCAGCAGTTTGAAACCTGCCTGGCCAACATGGTGAAACCCCGTCTCTACTAAAAATACAAAAACATTAGCCAGGTGTGGTGGCGGGCACCTGTAATCCCAGCTCCCTGGGATTATGACGCAGGAGAATTGCTTGAACCTGGGAGGTGGAGGTTGCAGTGAGCTGAGATCATGCCACTGCACCCCAGCCTCCAGACAGGGCGAGACTCCATCTCATAGCAAAATAAAACAACCACAAAAAGATAACCCAATATTGTACTATAGTTTTCCAAGATGCTACCACTGCAGGGGAAGCAGGGAAGACAGTTCAAGAGCTCTCTGTAGTACTTCTTACAACCACATGTGAATCTACAATCGTCTGAAAATGAAAAGTTTAATTTAAAAAAAACTGGAAAATTGGTGACCCAGAAAATCAGGATGTGAATGGAGCAATAAGGCGGCTCAGGGCAAGCGTTGCTCATTTTTATTCCTCAGTTTTCAAATCTGCAAGGAGTTTGGGGGCAGCGCGCAGAGGCGGACACAACTGGAAGCAGTGAAGGGACTGTTTGTGGTGTCTTGGGGGACGGTGGCAGCAGCTCTGGCACCTGAGCGTCTGTCCTTCCTGGTGGTCTGGTGGTGAGGGCTGATGGGGTGGACAGCAGCTCATCTCTTGGAGGCCCTGCCAAGTAAAGGGGTGGACTTGGCTCTAGAGGACAATATCCTTGGCTCTGAGGACATTGACTTCAGCGCTCACCTCCTCTAGTAATTTCAGGTTACTTTGGCAGTGGGACAGACACAGGGGCACGAAACCATGGGTAGGAGAGGAGGTCAGCGTAAGCCCGGTTGGTGTTCACGTTCAAGCTTCCCTTCACTACAGTCAGGCGCCCGGCGGGGAGAAGAGCATCTCAAGATAAGATATTTGCAGATGTATTCACGGAACTTCCCACATATCTGGATGAGGATATACGACTTGCCCCCTGGAGGAAAGAGTTAAATGAATCACTAAAGCACAAAATGTTCCTGTAAAATTGCTTCCATATTTTGTTAGATGCAGATGAGCATGAATTATTGTGAAGCTAACAGGGGAGTTTGAAAATTTTGTTCTTACCTTTTTCCATTAACAACCCCCCCTCACCTAGATGGTTATGGAAGGACTGGTTGAGGGATGCTGGTTTGAGGTTGGACCATTGAGTAAAGAGCTCATTCACTTATTAATTCATCCCATCAGATGTTTATGGGGCACCTACCATATGTCAGGGAATGCAAGTGCAATTACAGCTTGCAGGTGTCATTCTTGTTGATCAACCTTCCAACGACACCACCAAGGTCCTTCTGAGATGCGCCATTTTTGTTTTATGGTTATGCTGGGGATGGCTTTTGGGGGAGGAAGCTTCCTTTTGAGCCTCTCAGAGTGCCACTGTCTTATCTATGCCATAGAAAAGAAGGCGCATTTCACCTACCCCTCCAAGGTCAGAAATGCAAATTAACATTAATTCCACTTTCCCACAATCTCCCCGTTTGCATCAAGGTGTGAAACTCCATGGGGGGAAAATGGACACAGTTGTGCAAAACTGTTTTTCCAGCTGAACAGATCTGATTAGTTTCTTACACTCTGTGTGGCTCTGCCAATTTATTTTTTCTATTTATTTATGGGACAGAGTCTTACTCTGACACCCAGGCTAAAGAGCAGTGGCACGATCTCGGCTCACTGAAACCACTGTCCCCCAAATTCAAGCGATTCTCCTGCCTCAGCCTCCTGAGTAGCTGGGATTACAGGCAAGAGCTACCACACTTGGCTAAGTTTTGTATTTTTAGTAGAGACGGGGGTTACCATGTTGGCCAGGCTGGTCTCGAACTCCTGACCTCAGGAGATCCACCTGCCTTGGTCTCCCAAAGTGCTGGGATTACAGGTGTGAGCCACCATTCCCGGCCACTAGTTTTTCTTTTTTAAAAAAAATTTTGGCCAGATGCGGTGGCTCACACCTGTAATCCCAGCATTTTGGGAGACCAAGGTAGGAGGACTGCTTGAGGCCAGGAGTTTGAGACCAGCCTGGGCAATATAATGACAGCCCACCTCTACAACAAATAAAAAATTAGCCAGGTATGGTGGTGCGTGCCTGTAGTCCCAGTTAGCTGGGAGGCCAAGGAAGGAGGGTCACTTGAGCCTGGAGTTCAAGACCAGCTTAGGCAACATAGTAAGACCCCATCCCTGCAAAAATTACAAAAATTAGCCAGGTGTGATGGCACGAGCCTGTCGTCCAAGGTATTCAGGAGGCTGAGGTGAGAGGATCACTTGAGCCCAGGAGGTTGATAGCACCGCTGCCCTTCAACTTGGGAAACTGAGCAAGACTGTCTCAAAAAAAATTTTTATTTATTTATTTTTGAGATGGAGTCTCGCTCTGTCACACAGACTGGAGTGCAGTAGCACAATCTTGGCTCACTGCAACCTCCACCTCCCAGCGATTCTCCTGCCTCAGCCCCTACAGTAGCTGAAATTGCAGGCGCATGCCACCGTGCCCAGCTAAGTTTTTAGTAGAGACAGGGTTTCGCCATGTTGGCCAGGCTGATCTCGAACTCCTGACCCCAGGTGATCCACCTGCCTCAGTCTCCCAAAGTGTTAGGATTACAGGCATGAGCCACTGTGCCCTGGCAAAAATTTACTTATTTATTTTTATTTTTTGAAATGGAGTCTCGCTCTGTCCCCCAGGCTGGAGTGCAGTGGCACTATCTCGGCTCACTGTAAGCTCCGCCTCCCAGGTTCACACCATTCTCCTGCCTCAGCCTCCCAAGTAACTGGGACTATAGGCACCTGCCAAACCTGGCTAATTTTTTGTATTTTTAGTAGAGTGTTTCACCGTGTTAGCCAGGATGGTCTCGATCTCCTGACCTCGTGATCTGACCGCCTCGGCCTCCCAAAGTGCTGGGATTACAGGCGTGAGATACCGTGCCCAGCCGCAAAAATTTATTTTTAAGTTTTTCCATTTCAATAGCTTGAAGGGTACAAGTGGTTTTTGGAGACATGGAAGAATTCTATGGTGGTGAAGTCTAGGATTTTACAGCACCTGTCACCTAAGTAGTGTACTTTGTATCCAATAAGTAGTTTTTCATCCGTCACCACCTAACATCCTCCTCCTTCTGAATCTCCAATGTCCCCACTCTGTATGTCTTTGCGTACCCATAGCTTAACCCCCACTTATTGGTGAGAATGTGCAGCATTTGGTTTTCTGTTCCTGAGTTACTTCACTAAGGACAATGGCCTCCGGTTTCATCCAAGTTGCTGCAAAAGACATCATTCTTTCTGTTTTGGAGACAGGATCTTTCTCTGTCACCCAGGCTGGAGTGCAGCAGTACATGATTCACTGCAGCCTTGGCCTCCCAGTTTCAAGCAATCCTCCCACCTCAGCCTCCCAAGTAGTCCCAAGACTACAGGTGTGCAACACCACACCCGGCTAATTTTTAAATTTTTCGTAGAGATGGGGGTCTCATTATGTTGCCCAGGCTGGTGTCGAATTCCTGGCCTCAAGCAATCCTCCTGTCTTGGCCTCCCAAAGTGCTGGGACTTCAGACATGAACCACCTCACCCAGCCTCTATTTCATTCATTCATTCATGCATTCATTCATAGATGAAATCTTGTTCTGTCACCCAGGCTAGAATGCAGTGGCATGATCTTGGCTCACTACAACCTCTGTCTCCTGGGTTCAAGTGATCCTCCTACCTCAGCCTCCCTAGTTGCTGGGACTACAGGCATGTGCCACCACGCCTAGCTCATTTTTGTAATTTTAGTAGAGATGGGATTTCACCATGTTTGTCAGGCTGGTCTCAAACTCCTGGCCTCAAGTGATCCACCTGCCTTAGCCTCCCAAAGTGCTGGGATTACAGGTGTGAGCCACCACACCCGGCCTCATTTTTTTTTTTTTTTTTAGGCTGAGTAGTATTCCATAATATATACACACCACATTTTTCTTTATCCACTCATCTGTTGATGGGCTCTGCCAGTTTGATCCCAGCTGGACATCTGAGGGGCCTGGCTGCCCCTTAGCACCCCATCCCAGGGTAGGGGCACTGGGGATGAGAGAATGCATATGTTGTATTTCTCAGCTCTCCTTTAGAGATTGGGTATAGCAGAAAGGCTTGTAGGATCACTGGAAGCTGGAGTGATTGGAGTCTTTCACAGGCCCTGTCTGTCCCCACAGAGGAGGGAGTGAGGGTTGTAAAGAGCTTGTGTCTGCTGGCTTTGGCCTGAGCTGCTGGTAGGAGCAATGGCAGCTGGTCCCATGGCCTGTGGGTGCTGGCTCAGTTGAGGGGTGGGGGGTAGGCCCTGAACGCACCTAGGAGGGCTTCCAGGGCTGTCAGGAGCACAAGAAATTGACATCTAGAGGTTGCGGCATCTCTTTTTTTTTTTTTTTAACAATCAGACGGAGCGTCTCTCTGTCGCACAGGCTGGAGGGCAGTGGCACGATCTCAGCTCACTGCAACCTCCACCTCCGAGGTTCAGGCGATTCTCCTGCCTCAGCCTTCCGAGCAGCTGAGACTACAGGCGTGTGACCACGCCTGGCTAATTTTTGTGTTTTTTTAAAATTTTATTTATTTTTTTGGAGACTCTTATTGCCCAGGCTGGAGTGCAGTGGCATGATCTTGGCTCACTGCAAACTCTACCTCTCGGGTTCAAGTGATTCTCCTACCTCAGCCTCCTGAGTAGCTGGGATTACAGGCATCTGCCACCATGCCCAGCTAATTTTTTGCATTTTTAGTAAAGATGAGATTTCGCCATGTTGGCCAGGCTGGTCTCATACTGCTCACCTCAGGTGACCCACCTGCCTTGGCCTCCAAAAGTGCTGGGATTATAGGCATAAGCCACCACACGTGGCCGAGGAAGCTGTGGAATCTGCCACGAGGAGAATTCCTGAGGAAAACCAGAGGCCACATTGATGGCCCTTCACCTGCGTGGCCACATGGGATTCTCACAGCAGCCCAAAGTAGGGCCTTGAGCAAGGGAGTTCTCCTGGTCCCCAATTTAGGGGCAGAGAAACAAGTCAGCAAGACCCAGAACTTATCTCTGATTACCCAGTGAGTTGTGGAGATTGGATTTCCACTTGTCATACTGCCTTTACATCTTGGCTTTTCAGCGAGAAGCTGTGCATTCAGTCCCTTTCAAAGGCAGAAAAGTGTTGCCGAAAAATGTACCAGGGGCCAGGCACAGTGGCTCACGCCTGGAATCCCAGCACTTTGGGAGGCTTAGGCAGTCGAATCACCTGAGGTCGGGAGTTCAAGACCAGTCTGGCCAACATGGTGAAACCGTCTCTGTAAAGACAAAAAATTAGCCAGGCTTGGTGGCAGGTGCCTGTAATCCCAGCTACTCAGGAGGCTGAGGCAGGAGAATCACTTGAACCGGGTGGGCGGAGGTTGCAGTGAGCTGAGACTGGGTCATTGCACTCCAGCCCTGGAGACAAGAGAAACTCCATCTCAAAAAAAAAAAAAAAGATAACTATACCACAGTGGCTCATGCCTATAATTCCAGCACTTTGGGAAGCTGAGATAGGAGGATTGCTTGAGGCCAGGAGTTTAACACCAGCTTGGGAAATATACTGAGACCCTGTCTTGTAAAAAGAAAAAAAAAAAAAATTAGCTAGGTGGTGGTGTGCACCTGTAGTCTCAGCTACTTAGGAGGCCAAGGAAGGAGGATCTCCTGAGCCCAGCAGTTTGAGGCTGCAGTGAACTGTGATCACTATCATGCCAGTACACTCCAGCCTGGGCAACAGAGGCCCCTGTGTAGAAAAGGGCACCCTTTGCTGCATCTCTCTCACATTTTTTTTTTTTTTTTTTTAAGATATGCAGTCTCGTTGTGTTGGCCAGGTTGGTCTCGAACTCTTGGTCAACAGCAGTCCTCTCACCTCAGCCTCCCAAAGTGCTAGTGTTGCAGGCATAAGTCACCATGACTGGCCTGCATCTCTTTTTGTGTTAAATGGTGGAGAATGACCCAGAAAATCTACAAGTTTCTTCTTCTGCAGTCTGAGGGCTGCAGTTTATGATCTAGCCAGGCAGGCACACAGGCTATCTGCCCTTCATTCCAAATTGTGGGTGCCTGGATTGCTCAGAAATTTGGAAAACACGCTGGGAACAGTGGCTCACACCTATAATCCCAGCACTTTGGGAGGCTGAGGTGGGCGGATCACAAGGTCAGGAGTTTGAGATCAGCCTGGCCAACATGGTGAAACCCCGTCTCTACTAAAAATACAAAAATTAGCCAGGTGTAGTGGTGCACTCCCAGCTACTATTATTTAGCACGTGCTGTGTCAGACATCGCAGAGTACCTGGGAAGCAACAATAAAAAGAACTCTTTCTCTCTCCTGAGCCCCAGTCCAGTCAAAGAGAGGCAAAGAAATAATGACAGTGCCTGGCAAGAACGCTGGGAGAGCCAGGTTCGGGCTGCAACAGGGGCAGAGCACGGGGAAGCCTCCCTCAGCCTGGAGCAGGCGGGGTAAACCTCCCCACAGCGGGACAGCTGTGAGGAGACTCGGCCAGTGAACAGAAATCTTTTCAGTCATGCATCGTGTGACTCACGCTCGTATTCCCAGTACTTTGAGAGTCCAAGGTGAGAATCACTAAGGCCAGGAGCTCAAGATCAGCTTGAGAGTGAGACTTCATCTCTACAAAAAAAAAAAAAAAATGTTTTTTGAGACGGAGTCTCGCCCTGTCACCCAGGCTGGAGTGCAATCGCGCAATTTCGGCTAACTGCAACCTCTGTCCGGCTAATTGTTTGTATCTTTAGTAGAGACGGGCTTTCACCATGTTAGCCAGGCCAGTTTCGAACTCCTGACATCGTGATCTGCCCACCTCAGCCTCCCAAAGTGCTAGGACTACAGGTGTGAGTCATGGCGCCTGGCCCCCAAAATTTTAAAAATAGGCTGCCCATGGTGGTTCATGTCTGTTGTCCCAGCTACTCAGGAGGCTGAGGTGGGGGAATCACTTCAGCCCAGGGGTTTAAGGCCGCAGTGAGCTATGATGACACCACTGCACTCCAGCCTGGACAACAGAGTAAGATCCTGTCAAAAACCAAAAAAAAAAGGCTAGCACAGTGGATCACACCTCTAACCTCAGCCCTTTGGGAGGCCAAGGCAGGAAGATCAATTGAGTCCAGGAATTCGAGACCAGTCTGGGCAACATAGCAAGAACCTATCTCCAAAAACATAAAGAAAAAGAAAAGGATATTTTAGTTGGTGATTATTGTGGGGAAAAGAGAGATCAGACTGTTACCGTGTCTATGTAGAAAGAAGTAGACATAAGAGACTCCATTTTGTTCTGCATTTGAGATGCTGTTAATCTGTGACCCTACCGCCAACCTTGTCCTTGCAAGAGACATGTGCTGTGGTGACTCAAGGTTTAAAGGATTTGGGGCTGTGCAGGGGGTGCTTTGTTAAACAAGTGCCTGAAGGCAGCTTGCTGGTTAAAAGTCATCACCATTCTCTTAATCTCAAGTACCCAGGGACGCGTACACTGCCAAAGTTCGCAGGGACCTCTGCCGAGGAAAGCTAGGTATTGTCCAAGGTTTCTCCCCATGTGATAGTCTGAAATATGGCCTCATGGGAAGGGAAAGACCTAATCGTCCCCCAGCCTGACACCCGTGAAGGGTCTGTGCTGAGGAGGATTAGTATAAGAGGAAAGAAGGCCTCTTGGCAGTTGAGATAGAGAAAAGCATCTGTCTCCTGCCCGACCCTGGGCAATGGAACATCTTGGTGTAAAACCCAATTGTATGTTCTGTTTACTGAGAAAGGAGAAAACCGCCTTAGGGCGAAAGGTGGGACTTGCTAGCCAATGCTGCTCTTCATCCACTAAAAAGGTTTATGGAGATGTTTGCATATGCGTATCAAGGCACAGCACTTTTCCTTAAACTTATGTCACAGAGATCTTTATTCATATGTCTTACTGTTGACCTTCTCCCTACGATGATCCTATTATCCTGCCACTTCCCTTTTTCTAAGATGGTAAAGATAATTATCAATAAATACTAAGGGAACTCAGAGACCGGTGCCAGCGTGGGTCCTCTGTATGCTGAGCGCCGGTCCCCTGGGCCCACTTTTTCTTTCTCTATACTTTGTCTCTGCGTCTCATTTCTTTTCTCAAGTCTCTCATTCCACCTAATGAGAAACGCCCACAGGTGTGGAGGGGCAGGCCACCCCTTCAATTATGGTGCCAACATGGGCATTCCAGACAGAAGAAACAGCTCAAGCAAGAGCAGGAGAGCAACGAGGGCAGTGGAAACAGATCAGTGGCTGGGAGTGAGGAGAGAAGAGGATGAAAATCCAGGAGAGAGCAGAGGACACTGAGTGTCCTGACCAGGGATTACGGCTTTGTCCTGTGGGCCTGGGGGAGCCAATCACAGGACTCCCAAATTTTAATCTGTGGCCGGGCACAGTGGCTCACACCTGTAATCCCAGTGCTCTGTGAGGGTGAGACAGGAGGAACACTTGAGCCCAGGAATCAAGATCAGCCTGGGCAACACAGCAAGACCCCATCTCTATGAAAGTAAAAAAATTAGCCAGGCATGTTGGCATGTGCCTATGATCCCCGCTACTCAGGAGGCTGAGGTGGCAGCATCGCTTGGGCCCAGGAAGTTTAGGTTGCAGTAGCAGTGATCACACCACCACACTCCAGCCTGGGTGACAGAGAGAGACCCGGTCTCAAAAGCAAACAAATACAAATTTGGATTTTTTAGAAAGACCACTTGGGCATGGGTGATAGGAGGCTGTCTGGAAACAAGGCTGGTAAGGAGGCCACCTCTGAGGACCAAGCGAGTGGGGCAGAGGCCTGGCTGCTGGCAGGAAGGGAATATGGACGGGACAGAGGGAGGTGAGCCCAAAGCTGAAGTGAGGGGAACAGTGCAGTGGGCGCAGGGCAGGCCGGGGGAGGCGAGTGACATCTCTGTCCCGAGATAACACATAAGCAGAAAGTTCAATAGCACTTACCTAATGAAACCCTGCAATCATTTCCGCTCTGTACTTGCTCTGAATAATGGGTTTCTGAAACATCTTACACCACTTCTCAAACTGGGTGGCCAGCTGCAGCTGAATCAATTCCAGGTGCCTGTAGTCATGATATCAAGAGTAGCAGCTGTTCACACAGATCACATCCACATACGGAGCCTAGGACCAGAGCAGGAGAGCCCGTTCAGCACCCAGAAGACTCCATGATTCAGAACTCACATGCTTTGGGGGCTCTTCTGGCAGGAAGGTAAGAAGAGGATGTAATCGAGGCACTCAGGGAGGCTGAGGCAGGAGGATGGCTTGAGGCCAGGAGTTCGAGACCAGCCTGAGCAACACATCAAGACCTCAGCTCTAAAAGTATAGTAGTAAGACAATTAACAGGGCACAGTAGCTCATGCCTGTAATCCCAGCACACTGGGAGGCCAAGGTGGGAGGATCGCTTCAGCACGGAAGTTTGAGACCAGCCTGGGCAACATCGCATGACCCCATTTCTACAAAACAAAGAAACAAAAAAACTAGAAGAGGAAGAGCTGCCTCTCGGGACTGAGAACATCCAAGTTCACCAATTTAGATCCTGAAATTACCCTGCCCCACAGGCAGGAAACATGGTCACAAAGTAGCCCAAAGGAGGCAGGCCTGTGACTCTGCACTGACGTGCGCAGCTGAAAAGGACTGTGAGAGGCAGAGCAGCTGCCAACGCGCAGTCCTCAGCCAAAGCCGAGGGCCCCCGCCACTGGTGCTGACTCCTCTCCAGGCAGCAGTCCCATCACTGGGACTTGCCCTGGACTTACCTTGCCCTGGAGAAGCGCTCCCACCTGAGGGGCCGATGCAGTCATTCTCACAGAAAATCTTTTTCTGTTTTGTTTTGGATACAGAGTCTCACTCTGTTGCCCAGGCTAGAATGTAGTGTCATCATCTCGGCTCACTGCAACCTCTGCCTCCCACGATCAAGTGCTGCTCATGCCTCAGCCTCCCAGGTAGCTGGGATTACAGGTGCGTGCCACCACATCCAGCTAATTTTTTGTATTTTTGGTAGAAACAAGGTTTCACCAGTTGGTTGGTCTGGTCTCTAACTCCTGACCTCAAGTGATCCACCTGCCTTGGCCTCCCAAAATGTTGGGATTGCAGGTGTAAGCCACTATGCCCGGCCATCACAGAGAATTTTTTTTTTTTTTTGAGACGGACTCTTGGTCTGTCGCCCAGGCTGGAGTGCAGTGGCTGGATCTCAGCTCACTGCAAGCTCCGCCTCCTGGGTTTATGCCATTCTCCTGCCTCAGCCTCCTGAGTAGCTGGGACTACAGGCGCCCGCTGCCTTGCCCGGTTAGTTTTTTGTATTTTTTAGTAGAGATGGGGTTTCATCGTGTTATCCAGGATGGTCTCGATCTCCTGACTTCGTGATCCGCCCATCTCGGCCTCCCAAAGTGCTGGGATTACAGGCTTGAGCCACTGCGCCCGGCCCATCACAGAGAATCTTGAGGCAGCTTTCATGAGGCAGCACTGTGGGCTGCAGAGGGCCTGAAAGAGTCCCACCTAGGAGCAGGGCAGAGATGACCGAGTAGGACCACCATCAGCTTCAGCAAACTGGTGCTCAGGGCTGAGCAGCAGATGCTTCTGTGTCCAACTGGCTAGTTTCTAATGCGTCCTGAACACACTACTTTCTAGTAAGAATGCTCGCTGGGTGCAGTGGCTCATGCCTGTAATCCCAACACTTTAGGAGGCCAAGGTGGGTGGATCACCTGAGGTCAGGAGTTCGAGACAAGCCTGGCCAACATGGCAAAATCCTGTCTCTACTAAAAAATATAAAAATTAGCCAGGCGTGGTATCGTGGGCCTGTAATCCCAGCTACACTGGAGGCCGAGGCAGGAGAATTGCTTGAACTCGGGCAGAGGAAGTTGCAGTAAGCCAAGATTGCACCATTGCACTACAGCCTGGGCAACAGAGCAAGACTCCATCTCAAAAAAAAAAAAAAAAATGCTAATGTCAGCCAGGCATGGCAGCTTGTGTCTGTAATCCCACCACTTTGGGAGGCCAAGGCTGGAGGATCACTTGAGCTCAAGAGTTTGAGACCAGCCTGGGCAATATAGTGCAATCCCATCTCTGCAAAAAGATTTAAAATTAGCCCAGCACACCTGAAGTCCCAGTTACTCGGGAGGATGAGGCAGGAGGATCTCTTGGGCCCAGGAATTCAAGGCTACAGTGAGCTGTGATTGCACCACTGTACTCCAGCCAGGGCAACAGAGTAAGACCTTGCCTCTACAGAAGAAAAAGGAAAATGCAGGTTCCAACTTTGGAGTTACTGAATCTCAGAATGCAGAGATTTGCCATTTCAAAAAAAATTCCCCTAGAGATTCTGAACATCCAGGCGTGGGCCAGATGAACTCTAAGCCCCCTTAAACCTTTGACATTCTATGACTCTATTAAATCAAAGTGCAAAAAACGCTGAGTCCAAACTGAGCAAACAAATCCCATCTCCCTATGCCCAGCCTCCCTGGATTCAGAAAGCCACACTGCCTGGCGAGTAAGCAGGGAGAGAATTCTCATTAACCCAAAGACCATCTTTGAAAACAGACTGGCTGCAGCTGGGTGCGGTGGCCCATACCTGTAACCCCAGCCCTTTGGGAGGTTGAGGCAGGAGGATCGCTTGAGCCCAGGAGTTCGAGACCAGTCTGGGCAACATGGCAAGATCCTGTCTCTATCTTTCCAAGTAAAAAAACAAAATAAAAAATCCCTGGCTGGCACCTCATGGTCCTTTCCAGCTATTCCCATGAGCAGACTTCAGGACAAACCCAGGCAAAGGTGGGGAAAAATGGGGTGGGGACCCCCAGGCTCACCCCCTTGTCCGCTGCATAGTTGGAGTTGGTCACAAAGGTCACAGGCCGGGAGGGGTCCAAGGCTTTGGCATGAGCAATCACCATCCTGTCCACAGAAGGCAGAAGACACAGGTTCCGTCAGTCCAGGAAGGGCTCGAACACCCTCCCATCCTCCCCCATCAGAGCACAACACGGGGCCAGGCACGATGGCTCACACGTTTAATCTCAGCAGTTCGGGAGGCCAAGGCAGGTAGATCACTTGAGGTTGGGAGTTCAAGATCAGCCTGGCCAACATGGCAAAACCCTGTCTCTACTACAAATACAAAAATTAGCCAGGCATGGTGGCACATATCTGTTTAACACCAGCTACTTGGGAGGCTGAGGCACAACAATTGCTTGAACCCAGGAGGTGAAGGTTGCCATGAGCCAGGATCACACTGCAGTCCAGCCTGATCCATAGAGCCTGGTCCATAGAGCCCTGTCTCAAAACAAACAAAAGAAAAAAAACACACACACACACAAAGCATAAAGCCACTGCTTTCTTCCCTAACTTGAGATGTATTTTACATAAGGGCACATGATCCTCTAGTCCTAGACCGAGCTCTCTAACATCACTCTTTCTCCCCCCGCCTCCGAATCCTATCCCCCCAGAGGAGAGCCACCCTTCCAGGCACACAGAGCTGAGGTCAGTGGGCTGGACACTGCCAAAAATGAGGTTGACTCCCTGAAACAGCTCTTGAACACAGAAGTGGATGGGTGCAGATTTGGGTGGGATATTTATTAATGCATCAAGCAAACAGGGAGTGCAGACTCTCAGATGGGAAGTTTCAAAGCCTTGTGACAGCCTGGCTGAACCTCTCCAGGCTGGGCGGCTCCCTCCAATTCCTGCCCCAGCAAACAGACATCTCCTCTGGCCACCTCCCAAAGAAGCCTGTCTGTCAGGCACCTGCTCCTGGAAGCCTGCGCTCTTCACCTTCGCAACAAAGGTCCTGTCCACCCAGTCCTGCTGAGCACACCCCTGTGCCCCAGAGCTCTGAACTGTTCTTTGTCCAGGCTGGGACGACTTCTCAGAGCCTTCTGCCTACTGCAGACTTGGCTCAGCCCAAAGCACTCCATGAAATCGGGGTGTAGTGTCTGCCTCAAGGAGCATTTCCAAAACCTCTACTGCCTCTGCTGCAAGTGAAAAATCTACCTCTGACTGCTGAGTTAGAACTGCATGATTGTAAGGAATAAAGGGGGCCCGGGCACGGTGGCACACACCTGTAGTCCCAGCACTTTGGGAGGCTGAGGCAGGTGGATCACTTAAGCCAGGAGTTCAACGCCAGTCTGGCTAACATGGTGAAACCCCGCCTCTACTAAAAATACAAAAATTAGCCGGGCACAGTGCCTCATGCCTGTAATCCTAGCACTTTGGGAGGCCAAGGCAGGTGGATAACCTGAGGTCAGGAGTCCAAGACCAGCCTTGCCAACATGGTGAAACACAGTCTCTACTAAAAATGCTAAAGTTAGCTGGGCATGTTGGCATTAGTGTTGTGGTGCGATCTGGCTCACTACAACCTCTGCCTCCTGGGTTCAAGCGATTCTCCTGCCTCAGCCTTCTGTGTAGCTGGGATTAGAGGCATGCATGAGCCACTGCACCTGGCCTGTGCAACAGAGCAACACCTGTCTCAAAAAAGAAAACACACACATACACACACACAAACAGAAAACAAACAGAATAGCATCATTTCCTTATCATTAGCTTGAAGGAAGTGAATTGCTGTAAAAGTTTCCATTTTCAAAAAAAGCATTAAAATACAGTGTAATCCCCGCACTTTGGGAGGCTGAAAAGGATTGCCTGAGCCCAGGAGGTGCAGCCTCCACCTCCTGGACTCAAGCGATCCTCCCACCTCAGCCCTACAAGCAGCAGGGACTACAAGCGCGTGCCACCATGCCCAGCTAATTTTTTGTATTTTTGTAGGGACAGGGTTTCACCATGTTGCCCAAGTAGTCTGGAACCCCTGAGCTCAAGCGATCCACCGCCACGGCCTCCCAAAGTATGGGATTACCGGCGTGAGCCACTGGGCCCGGGCCCAATTACTTTCTTCAGTCTGAGCATGAGCGCTGGAAGAAAACTCTCACTTGCATGTAAGGTTTTTAGAGACAGAGTATCCCCTCTGTCACACAGGCTGGAGTGCAACGGGGCAATCTCATCTGAGTGTAACCTCAACCTCCCGTGCTTGATCTTTTATATAATCTCGGCTCATTGTAATCTCAACCTGCCGGGCTCGATCACACACACACAGACACACAGACACACAGACACACACACACACACACGTTTAGACAAAGTCTCGGTCTGTTGCCCAGGCTGGAGTGCAGTGGTGCGATCTCGGCACACTTCAACCCTCCGCCTCCCGGGTTCAAACAATTCTCTGCCTCAGCCTCCGGGAGTAACTGCGATTACAGGCGCCCGCCCACCACGCCCGGCTAATTTTTGTTACTTTTAGTAGAGACGGGGTTTCACCATGCTGGCCAGGCTGGTCTTGAACTCCTGACCTCGTGATCCACCCGCCTCGACCTCCCAAAGTGCTGGGATTACAGGCGTGGGCCACCGCGCCCGACCGATCGCTTATATTTTTAAAAAGATGTTTTCTTCGTTTCTAGCGCCTTTTACACCGCTACAAAGTTTTCAAAGGCTTTAATGCGATTACAACGGCCCCTGAGAGGTCGAGCTCCGCGGTGCAGCTCCCTAATGCGGGGCAACCTCAGAGGGGGCCTACCCTGCCCAGGATGAGCCGCGCCAGGTGGCGGGGAACGCTCCCGGGGGTCCTCGGGTCCTGGCTGGGGGAGGTGTTGTGGGATGCACGTACCCGGGATCAGGTGAGGCGAGTGCACTGCCGAGGCTGCAGCTGCCGCAGGCCATTGAGGATCTTCTCCGCAACGGGCCCGCCAGGAGCCGGCCGGTTGGGGCGCAGCGCCTGCTCGTGACGCGTCTGGCCCTTGCTACGCCCGGCCCTGCAGGCGGGGAAGTCGTAAAGCTCCTCCCGGTAGCTTATGGGCGGCGGCAGCCGCGCCGAAGCTTGCGGACACAAAAAGGCCAGCTCAGCTGCCGGTTATATCCCCCCCGGCGGCCTGTGGCCAGGCGTCCGCGCACGAGCGCTCCTGGAAGACCTGCAGCCCCGCCGCCAGTTCCGATCGGCTCCGCGTGAGGAGCGGGCTTCTGCGACGTCACAAGCGCGCGCCTTCGGTGACGTCACAAGGATGGGCCTTGGAGCGATGTCACAGGCGGGGGCGTTCGGCGGCGTCACGGAGGTGGGAGTGTCAGTAGCTGAGCAGTTGTCTCCTGAGAGTGGAGCCTGGTAACCGCGACCTCCCCTCCAGGTCCTGTGTGTTGCTGGCTGGAGAAGGGTAGTTAACAAACTCAGACCCAGCGCAGTGTTTATGTCGGTCAAAAATACAAAAATATGTCCAGGCGCGACCAAGGCGGGAGGATCCCTTCAGGCCACGATCAGTCTAGCAACATGGTGCGACCCTGTTTCAGTAGTCCTACCTCAGCCCCCCAGCTACTTGAACCCCAAGGTTCAAGGCTCCAATGAGCTATGGTCACACCATAGCATTCCAGCCTGCGAGACTGAGGTAAACCCTGTCTAAAAAAGTAAAAAAAAGAACCTAAGTGTGCAACAGGGAGGGACTGCCAAATGAAACTGCGATCCCAGTACTTTGGGAGGCCGAGGCGGGAGGATGGCTGGCTTGGGCTCAGGAGTTCTAGACCAGCCTGGGCAACATGAAGAAACCCCGTCTCTACAAAAGATACAAAAATTGGCCGGGGGCGGTGCTCACGCGGCCTAATTTTTGTAATTTTTGTAGAGATGGGGGTCTCGCTGTGTTGCCCAGGCCAGTTTCGAGCTCCTGGGTTCAAGCGGTCTTCTCACCTTGGCCATCAGAGTCGTCAGGATTACAGGCGTGAGGGACTGTGCCCCGCCTGGGTTAGGCTGTTTAATAACAAGGAAGTGCTCCACCAGGCTTGGTGCCTCAAGCCTGTAATCCCAGCACTTTGGGAGGCCGAGGTGGGTGGATCACCTGAGGTCAAGAGTTTGAGACCAACCTGGCCATGGTGAAACTCAGTCTCTACAAAAAGTACAAAAATTAGCCGGGTGTGGTGGCACATGCCTGTCGTCCCAGCTACTCCTTGAACCCAGAAGGCGGAGGTTACAGTGAGCCGAGATTGCACTACTGCACCCCAGCCTAGGCAACACAGCGAGACTCCAAAGTATGACACCAGCCTGGGCAATGTAGTGAAACCCTGTCTCTACAAAACAAAAAACCCAGGTGTAACTGTGTCCACCTGTGGCCCAGGCTACTTAGGAGGCTGAGGTAGGAGGACTACTTGAGGCCAGGAATGAAAGCATGTCTCTAGATAGTTAACTAGCTAGCTAGATATGTAGTTTTCGACTTTTTTCCCTCGATTTGAACATGTTTTTCTAAAGTAGCATTCAACACATCAGCATTTTACAGTGTTATTAGTTGTTAATATGATTCTGTTTTTCTGAAATACAGTATCCTTCACAAGCAGTTTTGTCTTTCAAAGTACATAGATAGGTCCTCAAGTGAATTTGTCTGATGTTGGCGACCTTGGTACCATTTTCTCCAGTTGACTGGAATAGTCAGTCAATAATTTCAGGTTACTGTTGGCCTGAGAAGAAGAGCCCAGAGGCAACAAGCAAATGTGCTGGTGTCCAATCACCTTCTAGAAACATTTTCACTTTCCTGTAAGGTTTCCCTTGATGAACATAGAAGTAGTGTATGTAGAACTGAGCCAGTGCTGCCGTGGCAACTTCGTATATTAGGCCAAATTTACATTTCTTACCTTTGTGAGAGGCACCCTGGTAGGCTAGTGGAGTTACACACGAAGTCTGATCTCAGCTGCACTGTCCAGAGATGCAACATGGTCCAATCAAATAACATTCTCTGAGCCTGTTTCTTAAGCTGTAAAATAAGAATAACAATTATACCCGTCTAAAAAGACAGCTTATTGTATTTGAGTGGTCTTTTATTTTCTACGAAGCTGTGTTTAACACGGTAATTATTTTTATTTCCATACCACATTTGTGTTTTGTTTTGCTTTTCTTTTTGTTTTGAAATGGGGTCTGTTTTTGTTTTTTTTTTTTTGAGATGGAGTTTTGCTGTTGTCTCCCAGGCTGGAGTGCAGTGGCAAGATCTCCGCTCACTGCAACCTCCACCTCCCAGGGTCAAGCGATTCTCCTGCCTCAGCCTCCTGAAAAGCTGGGATTACAGGTGCCCACCACCACACCCAGCTAATTTTTTTTTTTTTTTATATATATTCTTAGGAGAGATGGGGTTACATCATGTTGCCCAGGCTTGTCTCAAACTACTGATGTCAAGTGATCCACCTGCCTCTGCTTCCCAAAGTCCTGGGATTATAGGCGTAAGCCACCACACCTGGCTTGTTTTTAAATAAGGGTTTCTTGGCCAGGTGCGGTGGCTCACGCTTGTAATCCCAGCACTTTGGGAGGCCAAGGTGGGTGGATCACCTGAGGTCGGGAGTTGAAGACCAGCCTGACCAACATGGAGAAACCCTGTCTCTACTAAAACTACAAAATTAGCCGGGCATGGTGGTGCATGCCTGCTGTCCCAGCTACTCGGGAAGCTGAGACAGGAGAATTGCTTGAACCCAGGAAGTGGAGGTTGCAGTGAGCCGAGATCGCACCAGTGCACTCCAGCCTGGGCAACAAGAGCAAAAGTCCCGTCTCAAAATAAAAAAAAAAAGATTTTTTAAAATGATATTTTCAGTATTTTTATAGATATGTGAGCAGCGATCTTAATAGGACGTTACCTGACACTTTGCGGGACTAGACGATGACAGAAGTAGCTGATTTGATCCAGATGTCTATTTTTTTCTTTCTTTCTTTTTTTTTTTTTTTGGAGACAGTCTTGCTCTGTCACCCAGGCTGGAGTGCAGTGGCACGATTTTGGCTCACTGCTACCTCCACCTCCCAGGTTGAACCGATTTTTCTCCCTCAGGATCCCGAGTAGCTGGGATTACAGGCACATGCCACCAGGCCAGGCTAATTTTTGTATTTTTGATAGAGACAGCAGTTCACCATGTTGGCCAGGCTGGTCTCAAACTCCTGACCTCAGGTGATCTACCTGCCTCGGCCTCCCAAAGTGTTGGGATTACAGGCATGAGCCACTGTGCCTGGCCCAGATGTCTCTAATTTTAACAAGAGATGTATTGCAGGATCATAGCAGATTGAGTTGCTGGTGTATCCAGAAGGAAGTAAGCATGGAACTCAGGATAGCTGTCCTGAGTAGAGTGTGTGCTGTGCTTGAATATCTTACTGCTCATTTATACACAGGCTTTCTTGTGACCGAGTCAACAGTATCTGTTTTATAAATAATGTAGCTTGCTTGCTTTCTTGCTTTCTTTCTCTCTTTCTCTTTTTTTTTTTTTTTGAGACAGGGTTTTACTCTGTTACCCAGGCTGAAGTGTAGTGGTGCAATCGCAGCTCACCGCAACTTCAGCCTCCCAGGTTCAAGCAATTCTCCTGCCTCAGCCTCCCAAGTAGCTGGGATTACATGTGCCACCACTCTTGGCTAATTTTTGTTCTCTTTTTTTTTTTGGAGATGGAGTTTCACTCTTGTTGCCCAGGCTGGAGTGCAATGGTGCGATCTTGGCTCACCGCAACCTTTGCCTTTCGGGTTCAAGCGATTCTCCTGCCTCAGCCTCCCAAGTATCTGGGTTTACAGGCATGCGTCACCATGTCCAGCTAATGTATTTTTAGTAGAGACAAGGTTTCTCTATGTTAGTCAAACTCACGACCTCAGGTGATGTACTCGCCTTGGCCTCTCAAAGTGCCGGCATCACAGGTGTGAGCCACCGCTCCTGGCCTAATTTTTGTATTTTTGGTAGAGATGGGGTTTCACCATGTTGGCAAGGCTGGTCTCAAATTCCTGACCTCAAGTAATCAGCCTGCCTCGGCCTCCCAAAGTGTTGGAATTATAGGCGTGAACCACCATGCCTGGCCAGCCCTATTTCTTTAAGCCTCCACATTTTGCACTTGTTAAAAGTATTTGAACATACAATTACCCAGCTTCCCTTGTTTATGTGTGCTTGAATTTTGTACAATCTTAAATATTTTTTTCCAATCTAAGCTTTATTTTACCCCGTTTCTTCTATATTTGTATAACTTTAGGTGGCTCTCTTCATTGAAAGTTTTTTTCTCAAAAGCCTTAAAATAGATTATTGTTCTTGGCAGCAAGTTGAAAGCTATTTGAGGAGAAGGGGAGACTTACGATGATTCAAATGAAGCAAACTAAAAAGTAATGAAGCAAGACAGAAGAAAAAGCAGTATTCACTTGCGCACATCCCAGAAGAATAACATTTCAGATATAACTAGAAAAAAGTATGCTGAAGTTCGCAATACAGAAATAATTATTAATACTCAAAATAGCTTTAAAGCCCTGCTCAGATTTTGAATGTTGGGAATTGACCTGGAGGTGGCTGTAACCTAAGATGGTTCCTTCAGTAATGAGCATATGTTCTTTTTCAAGATGATGATGATTCTCCACCTTCTAAGAGACCAAAGACCATTGAGACACCACAGCCACCAGTCCCGTAACCTGCCAATGCTGGGCAACAGAAAGTGAGGGAGTTCAACTCTGGTAAGTTCTCAGTGAAATCCACTACCTTTTCCTTCATCTTCTGGACTCTCAGTGTGACTGATGAAAGTTACAACATTCTCTGCAGGGGGAAATGTTTTAGCATGTATTACTACATTTTAATCACATCTTTGTAAAGCCACGAGCATTTTGAAAGTCACATTACAGACATTGTTTAAACATAGTTTGTATTTGCCAAAACATAGGACACTGTGTCATCTCGTATTAATTAGTTAGTTGGCTCAAAATTAGTGCTAATGACTTAGTAATTCAATGATTTCTCTTAGCTTTAAAACCCTTTTTATTTCAGAACTATTTCACCTCTTGGTTTTCATTTTTGCTATGTGTCACTGCCTGCCAGCTGCTAATTTATTAACTCCCAGTGAATCATGTGTCCTGTGAAGGGACTGAATGAGATGTTAGTGGCAAATTATGTTGATGATTTGTATTTTGAATAGTTTGAATAAATAGAACATTAAGCTTGTATACATTTTGAAAATAGTATTTTAATGTTCTACTGTCATAGTCACAATGATTGGATATATAT